GAGCTGTATCTAGGCGAATGGAGAAGAAGTCAAAAAATTCATCATCGCTGTGTGGGTCGGCCGTCTGATAAACGGCATGAATTCTCTAGACGGGGGATATCAGCATAAGAAAGACGACGGCATAGACTAACTTTAATCGTGTTAAAGCGTCATTACTCGACAGTGAGCTGCCAGTTGAGCAAAGAAGGAGTTTTCAATTCAACCGTCTTATCCGTCGTGATCTACGGCACTGAACGTTGGCTTGCTATAAAAACTGAAATGAACAAGTTGAGGATCACGCAAAGAGTGAGGAAACAAAAAATTTGCTGCATGTCCATCTGGAATCACGTTCTCCTCAAAGAAATTCGACAGTGGACTGGATTAACAGCCTTCGACGCGAATATTATCGGTCGGTCATGTAGTGCATCTGTGAGGTGAGATATTGCAAACTGGATTCCGTTGGACTATCAACGTCGACTCGGACTATCCAAGAACACCCTGGGATGATACGATGGTCAAATTACTGTCTCCAGAGAGCAAAAATTGGAGATCGTTTATGTTTATGGTGCTCGTATAACGAGGACAAGTCGGATAACTAATCATGGATAATTTCACATGACACATTACCGGAATGGGCACCCCGTATACAGTGTAAGTGGCTGTACAAGGCGCGAATCGTCGTTCCTCGATCAGATACCATATATTCAGCAGCGCAAAGCGAGGATGTTCGAAACCGAAATCACCGCACTACAGGCGCTCGAGATCAGTTCTGTCATTTAGCTGTCAAACTTAGACATTGACTTGTTGTTGCTGAAACAGCTGAGGTCACTTAGGCTCATTCAACACGAAACAGCATCCTTCATTCTTAAAGGATAGTAAGTACACTAATTTTTCTATGATGTTTGAATTAGGCTTTGTTCAAAATTATGTAGATGCATTATCTTTAGTCGTGTTTCACTCTAGTAACCACGTGGAAGATTAAGTCCTGTCTTTGCATGCTACTGGCCCCTCTTCCGCGATTCTTAAGTGCAGTTCCATCAACAGACAATTGAGTTTTAACGTTTAACATGTTTGAAATACTCGAATTCTTTGGGATGGGTTTGGCTTGACCGTTTGCGCTCTCTATCAAGATTCGTAGGAAGGACAGTTTCGTGGTAGGCAAGCGGGTTACATGGCTTATGGGTTTTTACTGCTTCTGCAAAGGAACTACACCTAAGTGACTGCAAGCTTGCTTGAAGGATGATTTTCGAGATTAGATGTTGACCTCTGGCGTAATCAGTTTTGTAGCTGCGTAATCGTGAGAAAATCTGGCGAGTCAGTAACAATGCCAATTTGCTTATGGTACAGGTGGTAAAAGAGTGCAGAATAGTCTCTGAACAGTGGATATCGAAGGTCGCCTTTTTTCAGTTTTACGCATCAGGGAAGAGTCTATCACAAACGGTAAACAATGTTTCAAAACAGCCACACAACCAATCTAGATTAGTTTTCTATCGAGGCTTTCTTGGCCTTAGGTATCGATCGCTGAAACACTGATTCACTGGTACAGGTTAAGTATGCCCAATCCGAAATCCATAACATTGTATTAACTCGTTCTCAGGGATTATCTCTGGATAATATGAGCAACGGTTGTGGTACCCTTCCCTTCCCTCTTCTCCTCAACTTTCCATCGGCGATCGTAAAATGTGGACCAAAGACGCTATCTGAGAGGAGGACATTACCGTTTCCGTGAACAACAGATGTTTATGGTTTCATTATTTAAAGCGTTTTTCGCTGTTCAACAACTACAGATAACTTTCGCTGAAATATGCTATCCTTATTGGAAGCTACATGAAGACTTAATCTTCTTCCTATCGTATCTATTCAATCATGACTTTAACAGTTCATGTTCACAGCCAAGATGCATCGAACCCTTTAACACAATACCATTTTATCGTCGTTCGTAGCGGTCTTCTGAAAATACTAGCAATCATACAAAATGTTTCAACCAAACAACCTTGGGCTATTTTACGAATGTTCTGCAACCTTCGAACAACCAATAAACATTTCACGGCAGACTGAAGCTAGTGCATGTTGTCAGAAAGTAAGAAAAACAGAGATTACTACTTCCTCTGAAAATATAATCATATATGATTAAAGTGGGAGCATCAAGAAACCAGACTAGAAAAAAAATAAAACAATGCAAACGTGTTTCTCTTGTTGAGAAAAGACGTGCTACAGCCGGTGTTAGCGCGAAATACCAAACAACGAAGCTCCAACGTTATATGCACCGTATGCTAATATTAATATTTTTAAACCGAGTGAAAGTAAGAAAATCTACTATCAGCAGCAGTATGACTTTCCTAGCATATGTTACAACAAGTGAAGGTCAATGACGAGGTTTTAGCATTTCACAAATCATACAGCCACGGTCGAGTGATTTCCACGGGCAACTACTTGACTCCTGCCAGTTCTTTATTCAGTTCTTCTACTAGACACATCTGCTCCTTAATTTCCAGGTCAGGAATGTAACGAATTTCGTCATCTGCCTCTTCATGAATTTTGACGGTAAGCTCGACGCCGATTGGCAGGTGGGTGTTAATGATGTCAAAAAGCAGCGAGGAACTTGAAGCTGGCAGATCGGCTATCTGAACGTTGCGTTCGTACTTCGAAATGTCAAACAACGTCTGCACCACCTTGCTATGTGGCTTGTAAACTGTGACACTGTGAGTTTTTGCCGGTGTGGCCCATCTGAAACAATGCCATTATTACGTCACAGAACATGGATTGATTTCTGACGGATGTAAAATCGCAAATAT